CGTTCACTTATGAGTAAGAACATGTGGAACTCTATTCTTTGCTTCTGTGATAGATCACTGAGGATTACTGACGCTAAATCAATCTAAGCTGCTGTGAAGTCCATATGTTTTTCCTTCTTTATGGCTGCGTAATATTCCTTTGTGTATATGTACCACATTTTTTTTATCCAGTCCAGTTTTGATGGGCAGTGTGGCTGGTTCCATGTTTTTGCTATTGTGAATAATGCTGTCGTAAGCATGCGTATGCAGGTATGTTTTTTGTAAAGTGATTTAAATTCTTCCGAGTATATTCCCAATAGGGGGATTGCTGGGTCATATGGAAGGTCAAAGTCTAGTTCTTTTAGAAATCACCACACTGTTTTTCAAAGAGGTTGCACTAGTTTGAATTCCCACCTGCAGTGTGGAAGCATTTCTTTTTCTCTGCATCCTCGCCAACATCTGTTGTTTGTTTTATTAATGATGGCCATTCTTACTGGGGTTAGGTGGTATCTCAGTGTGTGTTTTTTTTTTTTTTGAGTTGGAGTCTCACTCCTCGCCCAGACTGGAGTGCAATGGCCGCTCCCGGCCACCGCAGCCTCGACCTGCTGGGCTCCGGCGATCCTTCCACCTCAGCCTTCCGAGCAGCTGGAACTACAGGTGTGCGCTACCACGCCCAGCTAATTTTTTGATTTATTGTAGAGATGAGGTCTCGCCAACTTGCCCAGGTGGGTCTTGAACCCGTGGGTTCAGGCAATCCACTCACCTCAGCCTCCCAAAGGCGTGGGATTACAGGCTGAGCCACCGAGCCTGGCTCTCAGTGTGGTTTTGATTTGCATTTCTCTGATGATGAGTTTTGATTTGCATTTCTCTGATGATGAGTGAGGCTGAGCACTTTTTAGTGTGTCTGTTGGCTGCCTATGTATCTTCTTTTGAGAAGTGCCTATTGGTGTCTTTTGCCCACTTTGGGGCTGTTTTTTTCCTTTTGGCATGTTTGAGTTCCTTGTAGATCCTGAATTATAGGCCTTTGTCAAATATACAGTTGGCAAATACTTTTTCCCATTCTGTGGGCTGTCTTCCCACTCTCTTGATGGTTTCTTTTGCTTTGCAGAAGCTTTTCAGTTTGATGAGGTCCCGCTTGCCTATCTCATCTCTTATGGAATGGGCACTTGGGGTTTTGATCAGGAATTGGTTGCCAGTTCCAATTTCCATGAAGACATCTCCTATATTTTCTAAGGTTATTATAGTTTGAGGTTTTACATTTAGGTTTTTAATCCATTCAGAGTTGATTTTTGTGGATGGTGATAGGTAGGGGTCCTGTTTCAATCTTTTGCATGTGGTCAGCCAGATTTCCAGCACCATTTACTGGATAGGTTCTCCTCTCCCCAGTGGTGGCTGTTGGAGGCTTTGCCAAGGTTAGTTGGTTGAGAAATTAAGGTTTTGCTTCTGGACTCTCTGTCCTTTTCCATTGGTTCATATGCTTGTTCTTGTACCAATACCAGGCTGTTTTGATCACTGTAGTCATACAGTAAAGTTTAAAGTCTGGAAGCGTGATACTTCTCACTTTGTTTCTTTTGCTGAGGATTGTTTTGTCTATTTGTGGTCCTTTATGCTTCCATATGAATTTCTGTGTTGTCATTTCCAGGTCTGAGAAGAATGAAGTTGGTAATTTAATGAGTATTGCATTGAATCTGTAGATTGCCTTTGGTAGGATGGATGTCCTAATAATGTTGATTCTTCCTATCTATGAGTATGGGATATTTTTCCATTTGTTTGTGTCTTCTCGGATTTCTTTGAGCAGTGTTTCGTAGTTTTCATTGTAAAGGTCTTTCACTTCTCTGGTAAGGAAGATGCCAAGGTATTTCATTTGCTTTTGTGGCTACTGTGAATGGGATTGTGCTTTTTATTTGGTTATCTTCCTGCTTGTTTTTGGTATATAAGAATGTGACTGTCTTGTGCACATTTATTTTGTACCCCAAGTCTTTGCCAAAGTCATTTGTCAGTGAAAGCATGTTTTTGACAGATTCTCTTGGATTTTCAAGGTATAGTATCATATCATCAGTAAAGAGGGATAACTTAACTTCCTCTTTTTCTATTTGGATACTCGATATCCTTCTCTTCTCTATTTGCTCTTGCTAGGACTTCCAAAACAATGTTGAACAAGAGGGGTGAGAGTGGGTATCCTTGTCTTGTTCTGATTTCCAGGGGAAATGTTTCCAGTTTCCATCCACTTAGTAATATGTTGACTGAGCATTTATTGTAGATAGTACCTACTATTTTGAGGTATGTTCCTTCTATGCCTAGGTGTTTGAAGGTTTTTATCAAGGGATGCTGGATTTTATCAAAAGCTTTTTTCTACATCGAATGATATAATCATGTGGTTCTTGGTTTTATATCTATCGATGTATTTAACTACGTTTTCGTCTTGCAGATGTTGAATCAGCCCTGCATCCTGGGGTTGAAGCCTACTTGGTCATGGTGGATGATTTTTTAGATGTGTTGTTGGATTGGAGTTGCTGGACTCTTGCTGAAGATTTTTGCATCTATGTTCATAAGGGATATTGGTCTGCACTTCTGGGTTTTTTTTTTGTTGGATCTTTACCCGGTTTGGATATCAGTGTGATGTTAGCTTTGTAAAATAATTTTGGGAGAATTTCGTCTTTCTCAATTGCATGGAATACTTTCAACAGGTGTGCATACAGGTGTGCATAGTAATCTCTGATAATCTTTTTTATTTCTTTGGGGTCAGCTGTGATTTGATCTTTTGTATTTATGTTTACTTGGGCTTTTTCTTGGTCATTCTGGCTAGGGGTCCTTCAATCTTGTTTATTCTTTCAAAGAACCAGCTTTTTGTTTTGTTGACTTTTTTCCTATGATATTTTTGTCTTCCATCTCCTGTATTGGGATTTTACTTTGGTGATCTAGACTTTTCTGCTAAAGTAGGGATTTTGGGGATCTTGTCTTTCCAGCCCCTTTAGGTGATTTGTTAGGCTATTAACTTGTGATCTTTCCATTTTCTTGATGTGTGTTTGTAGAGATACAAATTTCCTTCTTAGTACTATTTCCGTGGCATCCCAGAGGTTTTGGTGAGATATTTCTTCATTTTCATTTGTTTCCAGTAATCTTTTAATTTCTGTTTTGATTTCTGTGTTGAGCCAGGAGTCGTTCAGCATTATGCTGTTTAGTGTCCATGTCTTTGTGGATTTTGGGGGAATTTTGTTGGTGTTGATATTTATTTTAATTCCACTGTGGTCTAAGGAGGTGCATGGCAGTATTTCAATATTAAGAAATTTATTTATGCTTGCTTTATGGTCAAGGGTGTGATTGATTTTGGGATTATGTTCCATGTGGTGATGAGTAGAATGTATATTCTGTGGTTTGTTGGTTGGAGAATTCTGTAAGTATCTATTAAGTCCATTTGGTCAAGCTTCAAGTTGAGGTCCTGCATCCCTTTGTTGATTTTTTTTTTTTTTGCCTCAGTGATCTATCCTAGGGTTGTTGGTGGGGTATTTTAGCCCCCAGCTATAATAGAGTTAGAGTCAATATATTTTTTAGTTTACTTAGTAGTTGCTTTATAAATGCTGGCGCTCCTGTGTTG